AGATTGACAGTACTCTAGCCCAATAATGTTGGGGGATCCAGTGGGGGCGGCAGTCATATTTCAGGGTGACCGTGCCACTCTTTATCACAACCCTGCTAAAAGTGCCAGTACGTGCGTTCATTGGCGCCCCTTCAGCTGGTGGCGCCCTAGGCGACCGCCTAGCTCGCCTATGCCTAGAAACGGCCCTGATCTCAGTGTTTATGTATTTGCTCTGCAGTGGTTTAAAACGTTTTTTTTTTTTATCAGAGGAATGTCATTTTAATCAAACAGCCGCTGTTGCCAAGTATATTCAAAACATTTCATGCAAAAAGTAAAATACAGTAAAAAAGGAATTATTTTTCCACACTGTTTCTTTCTTTTTTCTTAATTTTTTATTTTTTTTGCTAAAGGAACACAAAGAATTGTATTTAATTATTTTCATTTAAATGCACCAATATAACAACACCCCGGTAAAAATAAAAATAAAAAAGAAGTGCACTGAAGCATATCTACTTACTATGGAAATAAGATACTTTGAATAATAATACTTAAATAATACTTTGAATATTGCAATAAATATGAATTATACTTTAAGTGTATATTAAATGCAATTAGCTGAACTTTAAAGTGCTTTTGAACCACTTAAATGGGATTTTAGTGCATCTTTATACTAATTTCATAATTCTATTTTTCCCTACTGCTGAATGTACTGACAAGCATTTATGATAAACTAATATAAAACTTGTTTGTTACGTATTTAAATAAATATTTAAAAATATATTAACTTTAAATGTAATATTGAACATAAACATATAAAATGTACTTTAAAGTAAAACTCTTCATTTGAAATTTTGAATTGCACTTTTTAAAAGTGTTATAAAACAGTCATGGAAGTGTCTATACATATAAATTATATTTTATTTCATTAATATTATATCATCTGCAAGTACAGTATTTAAAAAATACACTTGAATATAAAAAAATGCTTGAAGTAAACTTACAAGTGCACAATTAACACAATTAAGCACACTTCTTTTTCGCAAGGGTAATATAAAATGAATTTTTCTAATTTTTCACATAAAAAAAATGCCATGCAGAGACTTCATAAAAGCAAATCATGGAATACGTTTTGAATCATTGATGAAAACAGTTTAGATTAATGGAAATAAATCAAGCTTACCAACTGTAACACCAGTGTGGCTACTGAAGTTTTAATCAGAAACTCTCTCTTAATGCTATACTCTTACTCTTTGAGAAACCTAACAACCAAATATGAAGCATATTAAAGACACAGTGGTGCACAGTGTTTGATATTGTCAGCACAATCCGTATGAATATATTGTGAATCTTTAATATATCGCCCAGCACTAATACTAACTAACCGCTTTTGTAGTGCTCAGAAAAACAGGACCAGGCCGCTTTGCATCTGTCTCTCGCTCTCCACCTCATCTCTCTGTCTCTCTCTCTGTCTGTCATCAGCCTGACTCTCTGTATAGTTTTGATTCACCTCCTGTCATAGAGAAATACGGGACAGTTTTAAAATGCGTCCCTGTGCCAAAGTGTCAGGTAATTTCTGTTCGGCCCTGTTATCTCCGCTCCCAGCATCCCTCATTCAACTCGGCTTAGCCTTAAGATTTGCCAGTAAGTCAACTTAAGCACATTTACGAATGAGATTTAACAAGCAACGCTCCTTTTATGGCTCTCCAAAGTTCAAATGTTTCGCCGTTAATGTCCCGAGACATGTCCTCCACATTTACCCGCAGACCTCCTTTTTCAATAAGGCCACTTCTAGTTTACATATTAGATGTTTTAATGACTCGTCTCACAGGAGGAAATGTGTTTAAGCTGATATACTAGCGCAGGGTGATTCTGGCTTGCTAACCTTCTGTGTTGTGCTTGTAGAAACCTCCCGTAGCCCTGCTACAGCTGAAGCGCTCAGAGCAACCCCTCCATCCTTACCCCGAATCCTGCTTTACATACAAACCGCTACAGGTTAGACGGAGTCGCCTGTGTGTGTGTGTGTGTGAGTGTGTGAGTGTCTGAGTGTGTGTGTGAGTGAGTGTGTGAGTGAGTGTGTGAGTGTGTGAGTGTGAGTGTGTGTGTGAGAGAGAGTGTGTGAGAGTGAGTGTGTGAGAGAGTGAGAGAGAGTGAGGGTGTGCGTGTGTGTGAGAGAGAGAGAGTGTGTGCAAGTGTGCGTGTGTGTGTGTGGGAGAGATTGTGTGTGTGTGTGTGTCTGTGTGTGAGAGAGAGAGTGTGTGTGTGTGTGTATGTGTG